CTAGTTTCTGTTTTATTCAGTTTTATGACCTCTCTGAACCCACGTCAGCACTTCCGCAGCCCTGGATTGGCGTAAACGCTGTGAAACTTGTGAAAGGTTGAGAAATGTGCAGCCGTGGAGCCAAAACACGTGTGGTAAATGAAACATTTAAACTTTGATTAGTTAACTTAGATTAGTTTTAATAATGATAAAGTGTTGCAGTATGTTAGCCCCTAGACGTCAGAGTAAGGTTAGTCCAGAGCAATAATTTCTATGATCAGCAATAGCTGTCACATTATTACAAACACAGTGTAAATACAACAGAAGACAAGAAGTCCACACTGATCAACTTAAAGGTAAATAGTAAATGTGAATTAATGTTCATATTCATTTTCAGGTTGTATTTGATAGATGTTTTCCACAGCCATCTCTCTGTTGTACAGGCCCACACTGCTGCCAGAGTTACTGTAGATGACAGAGTTCTCCGAGTTATGGGCTCTGAGGAAGAAAAGTTATGAAAAACATTTTGTTTTAATGACCAGCAATGCCCAAATATAAGCACAAAAGGTGACCTAATAGAAGGATCATACTGTACTTGCTTTGATGCTGTTATGCATTGCATGGGTCACTTACATTTTTTTTAAAATTAATAATATGCACAATATTATTGCCTAAATAATTACTTTTTATTATAAGACACAACACTGTTCAAAAAACTGTGTTCAGTTAGATTTGTAAGTTTTTGCAAGTTTCTTGTTCTTGCCAAGGCTTCATTTCATTGGTCACAAATAGAGTAAAAATGGCAATATTGTGAAATATTATTATAATTTAAATTAACTGTTGTCTATTTTTTTTAACAACCGCTAGGACACATTTCTCAATACTAAAGTCACTTTTTCACAACACTTCACACAGTTCTCCAAACTATCTTTCAACTTGACACAGCAGTTCATTTCACATTCAAAATACACTAAAACTACCAAAACACTTCATTACAGTTTTTAAAAAAATGCTTACACACAATTTTTGAAACTATGGCTCCATTTTGCAAATCACAAAACAAACACACACACACACAACATGCAAAACGTCACACATATCTTACAAAAGCAAACACTTCTTTCAAAACTATTTTAACTCTTCAAAAAATGCTATTTTTGCATAGTAACTCTCCAAACAAACATAAAATAATTAGCCACATACATGCCAAACTACACAGAGATGTGAAAAATGTATAACACTACTCTCGTGTGTCTTTTGCTTGTTCAGAGTGCAGTTGAGTGCACAGGAGTTTGGCATAGCACTCGCACATACATGCATATGCACATATACACTGTGTACACAGTATGTATGTACAACTGATGAATTTTACAGTTATGCAACTGAACTGAATCAATACTGAACTGACTTGAGCTGTGTAATGACACTATTGGCTTGTTAGAGCTGCTTTACATAGAATTTGAATTTGATACTATTGTGAAGCTGCTGTGAAACAATCTATATTGTATAAAGTGTTTTAGAAATAAAGTTGACTTTCTGACTTGACTCGTATGCATATTCAATATATGTGTGTTTGTGTGTGTGTGTGTGTGTGTGTGCATGTACTGTACACATATACAAACACACACACATTCACGCATAGTATATAATCATATATATACACACACACTGTAAAAAGGGGGTAGAAATGTACAGTATTTGAAAAATAATGTGTTTTTTGAACATTAAAGCATGTCAATATATTCTGTTACACCAAATACACAAAATAATGATCTTTAAAATAGCATCATATGACCCCTTTAAAACACTGAGTTTTGATTTCTAAGTGAACAAATTATGTCTAAGTGTTTTCACACATGATCACTGGCTGTAGGTCACCAGTAAATGAGTGTGGCAAATGAAACAAAAGAGCTGTTAGTTTTTAATGATGTGTGTTATGTAGAGAACAGTTTTTAGAGTTCTGCAAATACAATAGCAAACTGAGTTTAATTTTTAAAAAACTATGTCCTTGCTGAATAATAATAATAATAATAATAATCTAAGTGACCCCTAACATTTGATGGTGTGTAAAGTGATGAGTGGTTGTATCTTAGTAGTATCATGCCAACAGTAAATTCCCATTTGTTTTCATTGTTTTATTTACATATGTTTATAATGAAAATAACTTTGGAATCAATGTTTTTAATCATAATCAGTATAATTAGCACTTCAAGGATTGACTTACATGTCTACTGCAGCTCTGGTTTTCTTCTTGTGCTTCACTGAAAATAGAAACAGTTTAATTTTATAAATAACAAACACAATGAATATTACTGTGAAATTTGAAAAAATGAATTGACTGAATGCACTTTGGACTCACATATCAGAATGACAGCAATGACTATCAAAGCCAACAGTAACAGGAGGACAGGCACAATCGCTGCTGATGCATTTACCTTAAAACACAAATCAGTACAAAGATATTAAGTGATCATTGTTTCAAACATGTCTCAAAAACATATAAGGTTTTATGTTTATGGTGAAATACTCACACTATCTTTGTTTTCCACAGAGGACGATTCATGATGATCAAATGAGGTTTCTTTTTTAGAATGAAAACACAAACAAAATGGTCAGTCAGCATATTTGCAAATACATGCAGTATGTTACACACAATTCAAAATAGCATAAAATGATTCGCTGAATTATAGGCCTACCGTATGTTGTGTCAGTGAGCCAAAATCCAATAGTACTGCTCTCAGGAGCATTTGTTGAACTGACGATTGAAGAACTCTCTTGTGTTGTGTTCGTTTCCACTACAAAAAATTATAATGTCACATAATGTTCTTTAAACTACCAATTTAAATGTATTTTATAGAAAGCAGAGATCTTTAATGACTAAATATTTGTACAACATGCAACTGCATACTTCTGAGTTGCCAAAATAGATTACAGATAATGAGAACTGAATCAGTTATTCATAAATGAAACCTTTTCTTCAGTCATTATAGATTCACTGCCAGGGTTAAAATCATAATACCTCCTGAAGTTTCAGTGGTCTGTGATTCAGAGGTTATAAGCCCAGAACTAGTGGTTACCAAAGGCTCTGGTGTGGTTGGACCAGGTGCTTTGAAACAGGATGTAGAATGTTCCTTTTTAAATGTTCACACTCGTACATGAGCAACAAAACTGCTGACAGGACTGACTTTACACAGCAGTGATCTAATCTGTGATGACGGAATGATGGCAGATAACGTCTTAATTAATGTAGCCATTGTCATCATCACCAAAAATACCTTCTTTTTAGACTTGGTTAGATTTGTTCTCATTGTGGTATGTTTTCATCATTCAGCCATGACAGATTCACATAGAATCACATATATTCACATATAAACACACACAAGTACCCTCTGTCATGGCAGTGCTGAAAACTCCCGTGGTTTCATGCTCAGATGTGCTGCTCGACGTGGATGTAGTTTCCCAAGTTGTTGGAATAATGGCTTTGAAGAAAGTGTATTTTAATGTAAAACTGTACTAACTTTCAAGATCTTGAAATTGTTTTCTAAATCTACACTGTCCTGTTCAAAAGTTTGGGGTCTGTTAAAATTTCCAGTGTTTTTAAAAGAACTTTCTTATGCTCAACATCACAAATACAGTAAAATACAGTAATATTATTGTGAAATATTATAACAATACAAATTAGCTGTTTTCTACTAAAATGCAATTTATTCCTGTGATGACTACTGGATATGTATGTGTGTGTGTGTGTATGTGTGTGTGTGTGTGTGTGTGTGTGTGTGTGTGTGTGTGTGTGTACATGCATACAATAGGTAAATTAAACAATTAAATCACTGGGATTTAGTCACTTCAAGTGTTTTGGCATTAAAAGCATTGCTTTCGACACTTACCGTCATTAACAATCAAGTGGACGTAATACATCTCATCATTAAACAGTCCAGGCACATGTATTCGGCATCCATATTTGCCAGAGTCTGTTTTTTTAATGTTTAGGATTGTCAGAGACACGTCTCCATGCCGTATTTCTCCCTCCAGCTGGTATCTGTATGATTTTTTCCTCACCACTTTATCTCCATCACTTCCAATAATTTCATTACCACAACCCATATTAGGAATGTCTCCTATCATCCAGCATATGGGACATTTTCCATGATATTTGCTGTCATATTTGCATGGCAAAATGACACTCTCACCCTCGAAACTCTGTACAATGCCGTTGCTGCATTTAGAAACTGAGAGAAACAGTGATAAAAAAAAAAAAATGTAATACAAAATATACAGATCCAAACAGTTCTAGATAATGTGCCTTGTTCATATAAAAATGATATTAGGGGTTACTCCACAATTAAATACTACATAAATAAAACGAAATATTGGAAAATATGAATTGCATTTAAAAAAGAAAAAACATTTCCCTCACTGTCACAAATTACTGATTGTAACCACACTTCAATATAAATGTGAAACTCACTTGTGAGATAACAGAGAATCCAGGATGCAAAGAACCAGCTGTGAAAATCAGTCATGATGAAAAGGTTTCACTCTCTCTGCAAACAGTGCTCAAGACAACCTCATCTCTCTTGCATTATAACCCTTTATGCGGAAGTCAACATGCACATGACACCCTTTTCTTAAATGTGCAGTCCGACATCTTTTTTAGAGTTTCACTTCCATATGTGACCTACTACTCTGTGGTCACTTCCAAATAACGAAAGAGAGACTTGTGAGAACATATTAACATTTATTTGAACTGCAAAAACACACGCCTCTATACATCACACGCGAGTTTTTACTTTTTGCAAGATTTCATTGTTTGTGCATTATTAAAACTTTTAGGATTACATTTCATTTTTTATGCAACTGCATTGAACACTAGAGGCCGCTATTGTATGATAAATCAAATTGCGTTTCCAAACAAACCAAAACTTTAATCCCACGTGGTGTTTGGACATTTAGTAATTGATTTCTGAGAAAGAGATGCATGACATTAGATTACAGTTTGGAAGCTTTTTACAAAAACAATAAAAAAAAAAAAAAAAAACACAATGTAAATAAATTATCTCAGATTTAGATTAATAACTGATCAATTATTTTATAAATAGCCTATTAGGCACTGATAACAAACCACAAAAAAAAAATAAAAAAAATAAAGTCACCATGCATGTGGTTTTTATACAGTCATAGTGACCTCAGAACTGACTATCACACCATATCAGTGTGTGGTTGTTGGTCTGGGAAGCCTGGCAGATTTTTACATTCGCCTTCATCCAGTGCGTTCTCTGGAGCGCCGCAGTCCTGAGGGCAAAGCGTTCAGATAGACGCGTTAGTGCACAGTAAGCAAAACAGGCCGTGAGCCACCTCTTTCACTTCTACTCAGCCACGGAGACACATTCTGAGAGCCAAATTTAACGTTGTATGCGGCATGAGGATCTGCAGAAGTTTCCACACAGCAATGAGCAATGAGCAAATGTTTCTTGTTCATGCATTAAATAAAATGTTCAGTACACTTTTCAAACTATATATTGTTTGGTACAGAGGTTTATTTGACATGTGAGCATGACAACCTGACAAGGTCACATATTTCACCCCCTTTAAGTATTTATTTTGGTGAATATGACATAGACCTTTGTAAACATGACAACCTGAAGGTCACATTTCACCCCCTATATTACATAATAATTCTTATATTACGTTCATGATTTAATTGACAGTGAGAATGACCATTGAGACAACAAATTAAGGTATGTACATTTTCAAAAATATGCTTCATAATGAAAATAATGTCACATTGCAAAAAAATAAACTTTGTTTTATTATGCTAATTATAATTTCTTATCTCCTCTCTTTTGTGTTTAGAATGAATTGTGATCTGTTCATGTTCTTGAGAGGTTTCATGAGATTTGGCCTTTTTTGCTTTTTACAAGTATTTCATATTTCCCCAGAGCTAAACCATTCAAATTAATTACTTGCTACTCTACTTACTGAACAGAAGTGCGATGATTAAACCCGGGATGAAGACAATGGCCCCCACTCTTACAGTATTTATGACAAATGTTTCCATTGTATCCTAGAATGACACACAACATGTATGTACAGTAACACCTTATTCATGTCCAAAATTCAATATGCATTTCATACATACATTACCTACAACATCTTCAAGGCAAAATACAGATGCAAAACTGCCAATGTATGTGTCTTTGCAAACAGAATAGTGCAGTACCTCAGCATGGACAACTGCAATTGCTTCATACATGTAGATGTCGGTAGCATCTGAAATAAATCAATCATTGTATTTACTCTTACATTTCTGAATAACTTTCAAAGTTGATTAAATGTGGTCATGATTATATTCATACCTGCAGTTGTCTTTTCTGATATGAAATAAAGCTCTGTAATGAGTGTGGTTGGGTCTGATACATAGTAGACTGTGTGTAAAACAAAAAATGGTTAGTCGGGGTTTTGAGCCTAGTGCTTGTTGACCACTGGTGAAAAGTTTTCAGACCACTGTGTTCCAACTATTATGTTAGTACCGGTAATTCAGATTTTAAAAATATTGTTATTAATATGGTAATAAATGTATTGGTTGATAATAAATGATTGATTAATCATTGAAATTAATGAATGAAAAAATACCCCAAAAAAAAGTTTTCACTAACAAATTTAATTTATAAACTGTCGTCTAGTGTTGTGGGGCTGTGGTTTTTTAATGTTTCTGAAAACAAGGCTGCATTTGATTGATCAAAAATAAGGTAAAACTGCAATATTGTGAAATATCATTACAATTTAAAATAATTGCTTTCATTTTTAATATGTTTTAAAATGTAATTTATTCAGAAATAAACATGATTCTTCAGAAATCAATAATAAAACGCTGATTTGGTACTCAAGAAATATTTCTTATAATTATCAATTCTGAAAACAGTTGTGCTGCTTAATATATTTGTGGCATCTTTAATGAACAGAAAGTTCCACATTTGAAACGGAAATCTTTACATTATAAACATATTTGAATAGTTCAGATGCAAAATCCTCTAAGTGCCATCTGAAATTTTCTTCTAAAATTAGCATTTTTATCAGGCTCCTATGTTTAGGTTCAGTAATTTTACTTTTATGACAATGTATAGGTCAGTCATTTTCTATGCCATTAAAGTGAAATAAATGAACATAAATATAGGAGCCTGATAAAACTGCTCATTTTAGATGAAAATTTCAGACGGCACTTAGAGGCTTTTGCATCTGAACTCTCCATTTACTGTCACTTTTGGTCAACTTAATGCATTCTTGCTGAATAAAAGTATTAATTTCTTAACCAGTCAACCTTTCTATGTTGGCCGTGTCCTTGGATGTGCAACCTTTGAAATCAGCAACAGAAGTAGCTCTACAGTATGCATGGTTAAATATCTAGTTGCATTAGCATTTAACATTGTTATCCCTTGCTCAAAACAGATCTGAAAAAGCTAAATACTTTCTAACCTTGTTTTTCCTGATTTGCTGTTGAAGGGACCAGTTGTGTTTCTGAGATGACTCTCTTTGGATCCAGTCCTTTTATGCAAGAACAGAAATAGTGTAGATCATCATGGTATGAGCACAACAACACTGATATCAACTGGAGTGGTTACTTACCATTGCTGATAAACAGATAGACATTGTGACTAATGTCATTGAAAAGTCCAGGGATCTCGATACGGCACACGTACATCCCAGCATCCCTCTTTTGAGCAGCCTTTATGGTAAGTGAAACATCCCCTCGCTCCAGTCCACTGGCCAAGCTGAATCTGTTTGACTCTCTGTAGGTCACTTGCAAGCCATCGGAGGAGATAACAGTGTTCTCACAGCTGAACCATGACTGACGTCTCCCCCAGCAGACGTTCAATAGGCCAGTAGTGTTAATGTCATATTTATATGGAAGATTAACTGTATCCCCAACCTGTCCAACCACCAGTTTTGATGATTCGCTGCAGGCTACAGCACATAAACAGAGAGAAGTTTCAACACTTGTTAGTTTTATCATTCATACGGCACCAAATGATTCGATTTCTCATGCATTTCACACATTCTTCCTGATTCTTTCGTAAAAAAACATCTTTCACATCTTTCACTATCACTAAACTAATCAAATAATGTTGAATGAATGATGACAGAGTAAGAAAAGGTTTATTTTTGACAATGGCCTTAGAGGAGAAATATAGCACAAGAAACACAACAATGAACATACATAGAATAGTATTCATTATTCATATAACATCTTGTTTTCCAGTCAAATATTTGAACATCCTTAAAATGAGATACATTTAATGTACTTTGTAAAGTACCTATACAGACAATAAATGAAGTTTTTATATCACATATCAAGTATTTTTCACACCACATTGCAATTTTTTTCTTGTTTTAAGCATACTCTTAAATTTGGCTAGAGTTAATAAAATAAGAAAAGAATTGGAAGATGACAAGTAAAGCAAGACAAAAATACTTGATCCTATTTTTTGAACTGTACAGTTATTAAATATAGTGCACAATATTTTATTGTATTGCACTGCTGAATGAAGAATTTTTTTGTACTTACATGTTACGCATATATTTGATGAGATAAAGAAGAGAAGGACAATCATTTTCTTTGCTGTGGTAGACTCAAAAAGTCACTAATACATGTCTCATATACTAAAAATACAACTTCTCTTTTTCATGAAGGCTGTTCGCCAATAGGAATAACTTAAACATGTCATTGGTTCCACAGCCAGACAGAAAAAATTGTATCCTAGTACATTTTTTATTTGATGTATTTTTATACATACCACTAAAAAGTTTGGTGTCTGTTTTTTTGTTTTCTGTTTTGTTGTTTTGTGAAAGGGAAGAATTTTATAATGTTCTCCGACTTATGCTGTTCTTTTGAACTTTCTATTCATCAGGTAATCCTGAAAAAATGTATCACAGATCTCACAAAAACTGTAAATATATTACAATAAAATAAAGTTATTTTAAATGGTAAAAAATATTTCACAAGATTACCAGTTTTTACTTGAGTAACTGATCAAATAAAGAAACACTAAAAAAAAAATGCTATGTTACCGACCCTATAATATAATATAATAAATGTAATGTAATACAATACAATACAATATAATATAATATAAGGGCTGGAAATGGGAGGGGGGGTGTTGTTAGCTGCCAATGCTTGTACAATCGTTTTATTTCCGTTATATTTCCAAGAAAGCAGCATTGTTCTCTAAAAAAAGTGTCCCATAATTTCCCTGTGGGAGTCAATAGACTATGTGTGATTCAACAAAATTAAAAAGAAATGCCACACGTGGCCACAAAAAGCATCCTCCTCAACTTCCTTTCTTTTAAGGAAATTAGGGCAATGTTTTTTTTTTCTTCCCCCATTTACCATTGCTGACACTACAGATCCTGAGATGCTGTTTCAAGTCTAGACAGTCATATTATTTCCTTGAGGCTGGAGGCTCAGTTTGAGCAAAGGTGACTTAATGTTCTGGTTAAGTAAACCTCTATTGCACTCAATCAGGTTTCCTTCTTTCAGTGTCAGTATGTCTCCATGCCACAACCAGATACAGATCCCAAGTTTCCATAAGCAACAATTCTGTCACAAATACAATAGCAAAAGGGAAGCATTCTGTCCTGTTCCCTCGAAAATGTCCTCATTTCTAATGTTTATCTTTTCCTATTTTATCCCCAGCACTCTTCAAACTCAGTCAAATGCAGTGACCTAAAGAATAAAGTCATCTGTGCAACCCCAGTACACATGGGATCAAACAACATACTAGTGAATCGGATGTAACTGCAAACATGTAACTGCAAAATAATATGTTTTTCCAGAGACTGGATATCCAAGTTTATTAGCTGTTTAGTCTAGTTAAATTTGTTAGGCTAATTTTCACTTTAGTTTGAGTGTTGCTGATAAAATTTTAAATATATTCTAGATATTTGCTTTATGTGTGTGATTATTGGTTATGTCACAACATATGAAACATGCATGCATGTGCTTTGAATTTATCTATAAAGCATAAATCTTTCAAGGTGAAGTTTGTAATTTCTGTGCCACTGGCATCACCAAATGGAGCTGCACTAGAATAATGAAAATGTGTGTCATTAGTATTAGGTATTACATACTTTACCATTAATGTTTGTGGCTGGTTCTCAAAAGGGATGCTAGAGATTTTCAAAAAGCAAATCTCGCTTTTTACATATTGAAAATATACAGTGTTGTTGATACACGCGAGAACCAATGAGATTTGTGACCAATTAAATAACTATAAGAAAAGAAGCCATATAGAATATTATTTTGTGATTTTTTTTTTTGAGCTTGACAGTTACATCTGTCACATGTCATTTAATTTGGACTTTGTTATCCTCATGCACCGTTTCCCTTCATTGAGTTAATTATGTCATTCTGTTCAGGTGTGTGTAGTTAATTATCCTTGTTTGGTCTGTGTATTTAAGTTCCTGTGTGTTCAGTTCTAGTTTGTCCAGTCTTGTCTATGTTAGTGTTACTCGTGTGTTGGATTACTGGTGTGTTGGATTAAAGTCATTATAAACCTTCTTCGTCGTCTTTGTACGTTTGTGAGCAGAGTAGTGGTGACAACATCCTTCACCCCTGTGTAACACGAAGTATAAAGTTTTATGGGTTTGGAGCGACACAAGGGTGACTAAATGACAGGGTTCATTTGGGGTGAACTGTATCACTTTTTATTTAATTTTTAATAAATTTAAATAAAAACAAAATACAATATATAAAATATTGGATTTAAATAAGATTTTAGGACTGAATCATTTTTGCAGTGATTAACGTTTTAGCACGTTGAATCACTGAGTCAATCCTAAAATCTTAAGTGTGTGAGTATTTACATCCAAACAGTGAATGAAAAAGCAATTTTATTAAGAATCAACTAAATAATCAAGTAATGTTTTTTTTTTTTTTTTTACTAAATATACTGAGCCTTAATTCACTTTTGTTTTTTTAAATGAGTCGTCATGATGTGCCAGACTACCTTTCTTCTTTTAAAAAATGTCTGTTTTTTTTTTGTCCTGCTTCATCACAAGGTTGCCAGTATTCAAAGATTTTCATACTGCTGGCTCTTAACGTAACTGATGATATTCAGAGAGTTAAACAACTTGGCACAAGCTGATTGGTTCATGCTGCATATGCAGCCAATGAGCTTACTGCCTTGCATTTATATAGCTGGCTAGCATTCACTTGAGATTCCTGCAGTGCGCTTTCAGAGTTCTCTGAAACCCTCCACCTTCCCCAGCTCCACCTGTATAGATCTGCTATGGGTTATTTTATATGCTATTTGTGCAGCAGCAGTATATCTTAAATGCTCATGGCACCGTATCGCCGTATGCATTGGCAGTAGCAAGTTCCTGTACTTGCTTGCAGCAGCAGCAATAATCTACAACTACAGCAATAACCAACAGCAGCAGCAATTCAGCAGCAGCATAGCAGATCTGTTCCGATCAAATGACATTAACATTGTCATATCCATCACCATGCTAAAATCTTCCGAGAGTTGTCATGATTGAAATACTGAAACACCACTTTGAGCAGAGGCATCATCTGCTCATTCATGAAATCTAATTACTTGCTGTACTGCCCATGGTTTAGTTGGCAGTCTCATTCTGTTGGTTGTCTCAGGGTTTAGAGCATTACTGTAATGGCACTACTTACTCTTTTTATTTAACTTGGGAGACAATACACCTAAATGATACTGCCAGCTTGGCCATTGGCCTGGCTGGAGGCCTGAACTATCCAAAAATTCTATATAATATGAAATCAAAAAGGCACTTATACGGCTGTTTAACAGTGACAGCTGGAAGGGCAAACACATGGTGGTCCAAGCGGGCATTCATCAAAATCAGTTTTCATGGTCCTAGGAATTATTTTGCATAACCCCTAGTCATTTAAGAGCTCTTTTTTTAATTTTCTGTAATTGCCAGCAGATCTGAAGAGTGCTCCACAAAACAATGAAGGGGACTATTTAAATCTTGTAATCATTAATCATGTTTTAAGGTAATATAACAGGATGAACCGACCATAATCAGTGCAACACAGAGTATTTCAGTGGCATAGTTTAAGAGAAACTCAAACATACTCTTTGTGCAGCGTGTTGTAATTGTTGAATGTAATAACAGATGCAAGTAAACCGGTTTGTTTCACTGAATGCTTCACGCACCTTCTGCTTTCCTCTGAGAAAACCCAGTCAATATGTCTGTGGAAATCTCAAACGCAGGCGCACTCTGGCGTGTGATTAAATTTCAGATCACCTATTATCTGAGTTTACTGCGGGTTCAGCACCATCCAGAATGACACAAACCTGCTGGATAATTGCACTTTTCCAGAGGAACATGCTGAAGACAGGACAGAAGGTTTATTTGAGGCTGTAAATGCACGTAAATGCAATATAAAAGCTTACGCGGGTCATGCGCTGGTACATGTGCTGGACAAGGCTACAGGCTTCTCTCTTTCTCTTTTATGTAACATAAGCAGATGGGCCGATATATGACTCGTTTTACATATTATATTTTTAAATCCTATCTTAATAATAATGAGAGGCATCATTTGCTCATTTGTGGATCTGCCGCACCTGTACACACTCACGTTTTTGCCATTCAAGGCTTTAGCTATTGTCTCGTCGCCCATTCAGCAGCAGAATCTTACACTGTCAAGCACCATCAGCAATAAATAGAACTGACAAAGTGTATATATTATATTATAATATATTATAGTCATTAGCATCTTGTTTATTATGGGTCTCCTCAGAATGACAGGAGATGAATGGAGTTGTTCTTTCATTACAATTTCACATGCCCTTCTTTATCTCCCTAATTTCTATTATAGTATTAATTAACTTTACATTAATTATGTCCATCTGGAGGGAATGTATAATCCGAGTTGAGTCTCATGCCTATAGGCCCCTTATATATTGTGACTTTATTTTTTAATTGTGACTAGACATCTAGAATAGAATAGAAATCACACAGTAAAAAAATAGATTGAAATGATTAAATTTCTCACATATTTTATATTTGTTTGTCTCTGACAAGCTACAGTAGATGTTTTTCTGTTTTACATTAATTTTTAGGGTTTTTTTTTCATAGTGTTGATTATTTAAGAATCAGTCACTATATATATAAAAAAACATTTTGGCCAATAAGTAAGCTGAATATTGTAGTGGTATTTACAGTACAGTGACTGAAATATACTGCAGTTTTAAACACGGTCACAATGGCCACATCAGCTTCCAGTGTGACCAAGCAGAAAAGTGTCTCTATAGATTTCTGTGTGAAAACACATTACAAAGCAAACCCATTAAATGCAGTTTGTCCTGCTCGACATGGTGCATTTTAACTTACTAAAGCACTTCTTTAATCTGTGTCAATTAGGCTTATGGATGCTTAAAGGAATCAATTGCAGTCAGTGTGAACTGATATCATCTACATTTCTTTTGTTGATTAAACAATACTTAAACATTAACTAAGTTTAATACATTAGTGGGATATGCCAGTAATGAGCTCTGTGTTATGTGACCCAGTATATTTATGATATGCAGCTAATCTGCTGACAGACCAACAAGACTTTGAACTTTATTAATATCAAACATGGCATATAATGTTGATC